TCATACTACAGCTATTACTCAACTGTCAGGGTTTCTTCCTTTGCCCATCTAAGCATTGGTCGAATTTTTTCTTGCTTGCTCCAGTCTTTTATACCGCACTTAATTGCCCTTGGCGATATTTGTCTCCTGATATTTTCTCCACCTACGTCAATGCGCCCTCTATCCTGGTACTGTATATAAGCACCTCATTCAGATAATGAGATCACTTTTTCTTGACGAAGCATTCATTAACGTGTTTCTCGATACTTTGAGCATTCTTTGTGTTACCTAGTTGATTTTCATAAATTAAAAAAAATTCAATTGGTAAAGCTGATATACAGTATGAATTCCTGGATTATTATTTTTGGCAAATCAGGTCTCTCCTATCCTATCTCTGATATCTAGTGTCACACAACAATTGGGGGGGGGGGGTCACTCTCGGTTGAGACTAGTGATGATTGTATTCGTAGTGAGATGGATACATATATTCGGTTTGGTGATGTTCCTCCATGGGTTTATGAGGCTGCTATTGAGGGCAATTCTGGAGATAATTTTGATTTGTTTTACTGGATTACAGCTCTATGCCTTCCCTGTAATTCATATGTTACCCAAGGTATTAACCATGATTTGTTTCAACCTGTTGTTGGGTCCTGTTGATAGCACCAGATTGGCAGCTATACCCTGGTTTCTGCTTCTCCGGTACCTTCAGGAATGATTGCCCACCTTGGCCATATCTATGGAGGCAGCCATGATTTGAAATGGCACACCCAGTTTTCCAGAAGCTCAAGCTTTAGGCATGTAGATTATGCAGTCCTTTGCACAGAGTCAGGGTTTAATTTCTATGATTGCCATGTGTCTGTCTCAGTCTTTGCTTAGTCCTGTGATGGATCTTTATCAACAGAAATGGCACACATATTGACAATGGTGTATTGAGAGGAGGTTGAACCCACTTTGATCAAAAGTACCAATCGTAACTCATTTCTTGACCTCGCTCTTTGGCATGGTTTTGCATCTTCCACAATCTCCCTGTATAAGGTGGTCTTATTGACTACTGTTTGATACTTGAGACATAATTTCTTTGAATCCCCAGCCAGTACTTTCTGGCTTCCCCAAGTCTCTTTAGGTCTGTTGTCCCAAATGATCTTTCCAGTTACCTAATTTGTTTATTAAGGTTACATTACATGCCCTTTCTCAACACCTGTTTGTGGCTTAGCCTAATATGCCATGTAACACCTTCACCTGAAGGTTTATTTTTCGTTGCTGCTGGCATTACCGGTCAGAGTGGTTTGTGCTCATTGACCAAAAGATGCTTTATTATTCTACCTACATCCTCAGACTGGTTCTTCTTTCTTAAGACACTGTCAGCCACAGAAGGGGATAAATCCTTTTCACCGATTCATCTCATCACTATTTCTCACTTCTATGACCGATCAGATTTTGATCATTTGTTATGTCCAGTGAGGATTTTGTTACCTGCACTAATGCCTTTAGAGATGCTAGACAACAACTTTTTATTTCTTGAAATCATTCAGTTTCACAGGATTTTTCCCAGTTACATTGACGAGGTGGGTACAAAATTGATCCATATCGCTTATTCTGGGCTCTCTTTGAAGGTGAGGAATCTTCTGCGAGTCATGTCTAATCAGATTTTTATCTCATTTTCACATGTTCCCACTCTGTGGCAAGTGTTGCTCAGGCAGGTGTGCTTTTATAAAACCAATTCTGCACTAGCAAACACTAATCAATATACTTTATCTAAGTTGCAACAGGTTCTGTAGAAATGAGGTTTTCCATAAGACCACCTAGAGGCTGAGTGGGTGGTATTACTTTACTATGCTGGACCACCACTCATGGACTATCACGAGTAAAGCATAAGGGAATCCTGCCGATAATTGGATTAAGTAAATTGGAGTTGGTTTGCTTTTTAAAATTTAGAAAACTTGGTTTACTTATTGTTCTGTTTCTAGAGCACTGTCCTCAGGACTCTCCAATGCACATTGCCCTCCAGTTTCCAGTCACTGGGGTGGTGGATAGAGGCGTTTCCTCTAGGGTGCTAAAGTGAATTTCCTCCACTCTTGGAGAAGAGGGGGAACTGGTTCTTCTTCCTTAAGACACTGTCAGCCACAGAAGGGGATAAATCCTTTTCATTGATTCATCTCATCACTATTTCTCACTTCTATGTCCAGTTTCTTGTGGTCCAATGGTTTTCAGCAGATGCTCATTCATTTATCTTCTCTACAGCCTTCTTTAGCCTTATTACTTCATATTTGGTTGATCAGTTGCTAGAGTTTATTGGGGCATGATGCCCTTGTTACTCATGTGATTTTTCATCTGACAGTGTGATTTTACTGAAGTGCTTACTTCTCTGGTGTCACATGTTGGGGTACATGCAAATGTTACTCATTATCCTTACTATTTTACCATCTCTCCTGTGCTCCTTTGCTTCTTTCTATCTCTTATCCTGCTGTTTCCTCTCTTCTCCCTGTCACCATTTGATGTTCCTCTGTTCCCATTTGTCCTCTCATCACTTGTAGACTTCAGTACTGTCAGTCTTGACAATGAATATCCTGTAGGCTCAGGGTCAATAGGGCCCATTTAGTTCAGTTTATGTACCATTGGCCTCCGTTTGCAACTGATTTTTGGGTACTAAGAGTTCTGTCAGAGAACTGTACCCTTCATTTCATTCTCTCATCTTCCATTATCTCCTGTTCCCTTTCCCTCCTCCATGGGATCTTGGTTTTGCCATTGTTGGTCTGTAGCAGTGTTGGACCTAATGGCTAAAGATTCTATCAGAAGGGTTTTATTTCTCATCCTTCTCCAGGATTTTATTCCAATCTTTTTGTGGTTTCCAAGGAATCTATGGATAGGTGTCCAGTCTCAGATATTTCATGTATCAGTTGGCTTCTATACATCCCTTGATTTACCTTGGGGACAGTGGTCTTTTGCCTCAGGTTTTGGATTACTGAGTCAGACAACTCAGGTGCTTATTTTCTCATCTGGTTTTATCCCAACAAGCCTACTACAGTCATATTCTTCTCCTCCTTTGAAAAGCAGTGCATCTGGGTAGGTTGGTCAACCTGGAGAAGTTGCATCTTACATCCACTTAGTATATCATTCATTTGGGTGTTTTTCAGTTTGCATCTCCACAGAGCCCATCCTTTTTTTTGTTTGAGGGTCATTGAATATTTAGCTTTTCTTGTCCTATCCTCTCCTTCTCTCACTGTGCAAGAGGTTTTCTCTTATTTGGGGACTTGGGCTTCCATAGAATCCCTTATCCTTTTGGGTTGTGCTCATTTTCAATCTCTACAATGGACTCTGCCCAATCACTAGATCCTCCCTTCGGATCCCTTGTCCTCCACTGTTCTCTTTCCTTACTCAAAGACATCACCTGGTATCTTGACAAAACTGATACTACAGGGGGAGTTTCTCTTTCTCCCTCTTAAACAAGTCTCCATCAGTTTCCAGATGGGGGTACACG